TTTAGGTTTTTTTTTTTTTTTTTTTGTGCAGCAGTGTTTTCAAGCAAATAGCAAAAGTGAAGCTTTATTTTTGGGTCTATTTCAGAAAAATCACTGTTGGCTTCCATCCTACAGAAGTCTGTGAGCAGCCATGGAAATATCTGATTTTGAGATGTTTATGGCCTGGAAGCCAAACCTATTTTTTTACTAGCTCAAACCTTAATTAGCTCTTTGTTTATTTTGATTAACTTGTTCTGTGTTAATGGATATTTACTGAATAAATGCTGGAGAAAAACAAATATTTGTCCTGAGTCCTTTTCTTTTCCTTTGAATTTGGTGATGCATTTTTGAAGCACATGTTTCCTCCATCCTCCCTCCAACAGTGACATGCATAATCTGTACTTCTCCGTGCTCACTTGGCAGAAGTAAAACAATTTCCATCTCCCACCCCTCTTATCTTTCACTAAGAGCAGTCAAATGAATTTTCACACTTCACTCAATTGCAAAAGAATTACAGGCACATTGAGAACATTAGACTCAATTTGCTTGCAGGATAATATATTTTTGGTACGAAATAAAATTTACAGTATATAAAACTTATCTTTGTAAATGAAAAATAGCAGTCTAAGGGGACATTACATATATTCAACTTTAAACATACATTTTAAAAGATAGAGAATGTCCAATGCAATAGCATTTGAAAGACAAAGGGGAAAGAACTCCTTAGTACATGGCTAAATGTGCTGTGCCGGGATCAAATAGGAAAATATGCATAGATCAAAGGTGGTACAATGCAAGGCATAATCTAACACTCACCTCAGTTTACACAAAGATCCCCATGATGTGCTGCAGACTTATCTGTACCACGGCACTTGCCAGCTGTTAAGAGAAATGCACCATAAGTTAAAAACATGAAAGTATGCTTTGTGGTGCCCCAGATTACATAGCCTTTTTAATTTACTATGGAAACCCTACAAGCCCCTGTTCTGTCCTGCATATGGAGAAGAGAATGGAACCTAAAGGAACAAGTGTAGTAATTTTTACACATAAAAAATTGACTCAACTCACCAGCATAAATTACTTTATATGCTCATTACATTATTTTCAGTCTGTATACCAAGCAGTCTTAAAATATTTGGACACTCTAGTCAAAGTTAATATTTGTACATTCAGCTGTGGAAATTAAATCTCAGGGCAGCATATCGCAAATGAAATGAGATATTCAACATTAGTGCACTCACAATGTGTACAGATCCCTACCAAAAGTCTTCCTCTTGTCTCTGTAATCTGTTCAGATGCACATGGAGCAATAGGGACATTGACTCTCTATGGAGAATTAATATTTCTCCTCGAAAGGTGAAAACTCACTGTGACAGATAAGACAATATCCTGAACAGACCTTATTGAATTAAGTTTAAGTATTTTAGGAGTTCACTGTATTAAAAATGCAAATGTTGAGGGATTGTAATTCCACAGGAGAGGTGAACCACAGACCTACAGGAACTAAGAACAGTGGGGTGTGGTCAGGGCCGGCACTTCCACTAGGCAACCTTAGGCGGTCACCTAGGGCGGCAGGATTTGGGGGGCAGCATTTTGCCGCCCTCGGCAGAAATTCGGTGGCAGGGGTCCTTCTGCTCCGGATCTTCAGCGGTGGGTCCTTCACTCGCTCCGGGACCTGCCGCCAAAGTGCCCCGAAGACGCGGAGTGGAAGGACCCCCGCCGCCGAATGCTCAGAGGAGGAGCGCTGCCACCTAGGGCGGCAAAAACCCTGGCGCCGCTCCTGGGTGTGGTTAGGCAAATTCACGCCGGTTTTAACATTGTAGAGAGCTACCGCTCCCTGGAGAGAAGCTCACATATAGTGGTTCAAACTGGATTCTCCAGGGACCAACAGACAAAGGACTTTTGGATATATAGCCTAAGTTAAAACTGACTCTGGATCTTCTTTGTGATCCAGCAACCAGACAGGCCTTCTTAGGGAAGGGTTGGAAGGACTTTGGCCTGTTGAGGACCTATAAGACTGAGTTCTCATTCTGAGCAAAAGGAATGATAAACTGGTAACCACTGGAAAATCCCTGGGTGGGGCTTGAAGAGTTTTCACTGGCCAGACCACTTGTTGGAGTGATTTCTGGTAAGCTTATTAGCACGCATGGAGGTTCTTCTACTGCAGGGGTCGGCAGCCTTTCAGAAGTGGTGTGCTGAGTCTTCAGTTACTCTGATTTAAGGTTTCGCATGCCAGTAATACATTTCAACGTTTTTAGAAGGTCTCTTTCTATAAGTCTATAATATATAACTAAACTATTGTTGTATGTAAAGTAAATAAGGTTATTAAAATGTTTAAGAAGCTTCATTTAAAATTATATTAAAATGCAGAGCCCCCTGGACCAGTGGCCAGGACCGGGGCAGCGTGATTCCCACTGAAAGTCAGCTGACGTGCCGCCTTCGGCATGCATGCCATAGGTTGCCTACCCCGTTCTACTGTTTTTAATGTTTTCTCTGGAGTCTTTCACCTTAAGAGTAAATGTGTTTGCTTATAAAGGGCTGTGTGGTAACCTACCTGTGGCAATTACAGTGTGTACCATCTCTGAGGAGAGAAGCAAAGCAGTTTGTCTTTTGCTGGGGGTATAACAGTATATAGTCAGGAGATTGTGCAGCCTGGAAATATCCCAGTCAGGAGGGAGGGAGGGACAGAGATGCATATCTCCACCCAATAGAGGTAAAAGCAGAGCAGCTTGGAGCTGAGAGTGTGTGCTGTCACTGGATCACAGAGAGGCAATAAAGGTACAGTTGCCCTGAACTGTTGCACTCCGCACAGCTTTAGTTTTCCATGGAACACTTAGATGAGGTTGCTAAAGTGCAGCTTTCTAAAGAAGTATACAAGACACATGTCTATAAAAAATTGTATTTCACAAACAAATGCAACCTGTCACTTCAATATATGTTATATAACAAAAACTAATGATGTTATATCTGAAACTTAATAGTATTTCATACTTTCATACTAGAGTTATCTTGAAAAAAACAAACAAACCCACACACCAAACCAACAAAACCAATGCATATGCCTGGTGAGGGCCCTCTGCACAGTTACAGCATTTAGATACTCTACAGCTGAATGAGAGCAATGATTAAAGTTTATGATTAACTAGCAATAGAAAAATCACATTTGACTATTGTTATCAAAATTAAATGTTGAACAATTTTAATACCAAATTATCTCTTTCACTGCAAAAATCCAGTGTTGTCAATGAAAACATTAACATTTCTAAGCACTACATTCATATTAAACATCTCTTGTGCATTGTTTTTCCATTGTACCTTCATGTTACACAGTCTGTTTTCACAGCTGAGATACATGAAATTGTATGAAAAATACTATGATTTAGAAAGGCAATCCAGGAGCTAATGAATACTGGGATATATATATTTGTAGAATAGGTATCATAGTATACTTGCCTTTTATATACCTTTTGCTATTTTTCCAGGATCAGAAACCCAAGAAGTTTTTTTTTTTTAATTTAAGGGTATGTGGAACAGGTTATTAGATTTGGGCTGGAGTGATTAAATAGGTGAAAGTGGAAAGATGCAGTAGAGCCATCGTCTGTGGGGTTATAAACAGTTTCTCTGGAGACTTATATTGCTGCTTAGTGTATTACCGTATGGCCCTATGCAGTAAACTCGATTTGGCCTAGAAGAGTGGATTGACTTATTTGCCTGAATTCACTAGTGGCTCCTGTTGTTCTAGGTCAGTTATTAATGAGTGTAGTAGCCCTCTCCCCCCTGGACACAAGACCACGGTTTGAGCTGCTTGCGGAGCCCTTCTCCTGTCTGTGGTACACAAGGGATTCTCTTAACAAACAAACAAACAAATAGACAAAAGGGTCCTTTTCCCACTCCTTCCCCTGAGAGAGGAAAAATCAGAGTAAAAGGAAAAAAGCATACGTGATCAGTCTTCTAGGAAGCCTTTTGGTCACCCTTTGGGGGTTGGCTTAACTACAGGTATAGTGTCTTTAATCAGGGTTAGGATCTGTCTCCAGCCCCTAATTTGGGTCAACCCCTGCTTTATATCTAGTCCATGCAATCGCAGAGGTGGCAAGTTCTGCAACTGTCTTCCTCGTTGCTGATCTGCCTCTGAGGTACAGCAGTCTTCTCCCTTGTCACTACCCCTTCTTGTGGGGGGCTTTCCCTTTTTAAGCTTCCTCTCTCCGAGCAGTCCAAGCCTTACAGGTGTGTCTGATTAATGCTGGTGGAGCCTAGAAGAGCTTATTAGCCACCTCTCTACTAGAGTGAGGATGTGCCCCCACACAATGAGGAAGAGAGGATTAATGGAAACAAGAGATGTTGCTATACTAGTTTTTATCTTTCAATGAAACCTGCATAATGCTAGCTCAAAAAATGGTATTCCTACACAATGATTTACAAAAATGGGACATTTTCCTAACAGCTTTTCCAATCATAATTGGATGGGACTAAACTTATTTTTGATTACAGGACATTAACCTCTGTAGTGACACTAACTAATAAGATATATGTGCAATGGATTATCATGACTAACTCCACAGGTTCCTATTAATGCTATGAGCAGGTACCAGGCTCAGCAATTAAGCCAAAGATGTTTCAGGTCAAGCCAACACTGTCCTTTACATATAGGAGATCCAAGTCTGAAGAGTGAATTTAACCCTGGATTTCTTGGTAAGGGGACATTGTACTCTTGCATTACACTGGATTGACCTTGGAGACATGAGTGTTTAGCACCCCTCTCTAGTTCATGAATGGAAGAAGCTGCATCCAGTACTTCTTGGTCAAATGGAAGATCACTACCATATGGGGCAATTGAAGGGAAGAGAATAAAAGATTAAAAAAAGAAATGGACCCTTCAAGATCCTCCTTCCTGAAAACAAGCAGTTTAGGATCACCTTTAACTCATACGCCTCTACAGCTCAAGTGTTGTCCATCACTAATTTTCAGATTTTAGGAGGTACAAGAATCACAACCATGGATCAAACTTCTCAACTCTGTAGTGGGTTGAGCAACATCTCCCTCCCCTGACTGAATTTGAAAAAACTGAAGTTGGGGGTTGAATTCATGATCAAAATCTATTTTCACAAATGTAGGGTGTTTGAATTCAGACAGATACAGAAATGGGTCTGAGCTGTGAACAGATGGCCGGATCCTCAAGTAGTATAAGTCAGCATAGCAAGGAAGTGACTCAGGGCAGAATATTCAGATAAAGAATGGATGGAGCAAAGAAAGGACAATCACAATGAATCACAGAATAAAATGTTGTTTTAAAACTTTAATCGGAATATATGTGACATTTGAATAGTTACAGAAAAAAATGAAGAGAAACAGCAAAAAGGATACAAATGTAACACTATGATGGATACTTGCATGCATGTGTGGGGAACACAGGGAAATCTTGCACTAATCGTAAAGGTGATGGGTCATTTGAAATAGGTGTTAAAAGTTGAGATAGCTACTTTTTGCATTGATATCTCCAATGGTAAAAACCTGTCCCTACTAAAGAAGAGTGGCACAACACCATCCCTGCAGTAGGATTCAAATTATTTTGCTGGAACAGTGTACAGAGGCTTGGAGTAATGGGAAGGAAAAAATATACTCTGAAGTGCACGTTACTGCTGTTCCCAAACCACTAAAATTAAGTTTATCATTCTGAATTAATATAGTTCTAGCAAATTGCAAAAATTATGTTTGTTTATCTGTATGGAGAGCATCAATACCATGTGACATCTTGTTTGTAAGTAAATTCTGAGCTCTCAAGGAAGAAAATGTACCTTGTTAAAAAGAAAGAACTTTCAACTTCTGGTAAGCTAGACGTTCCAGACCAACTATCAGTAAGGCGAAACTATACACAACATGTGATTGTTTGCCAAAAAACAGGTAACTATTTGTCTTGCCCACTGCAAATTATTTAAATAAAGTTATTTAAAACTTGTTGGGTTCTTAATGAAAGAAACTACATCTAATAATTTTACTAGGGATTTATATATAGCTGTGAGGATGGAAAGAAGATAACTTTTGATCTTATAAAAGCTATTTTATTTAAAAATTCCTGTTGCTGTATGCCTTGGCATTATAATGACTAATCTTTTCATTTTCTCTCTTCTTCAATGTTGCCATAAGGCTCAGTTCTGAAGTCTTTACCTAGTCCCCACTCCGTCAAACATTCCATAGATAGAAGTCATCCAGCAATTGCTTGGCTAAGTGATGCAAAAGGAGGGAAATGAGAACAGTTGTAGTGTGTAAATACTCTGGCCTGATCTTGCCTCCATAATCAAAGACAATGGGAGTTTTGCATCATTTAGGATTGGGCCCCCAAAAGGAAGACAATAGTCATACAGAAAATAGTCATATAATGAGGTATAACTAGGAGTAATGGGATGAGATTAAGACAGGGAAAATGTAGGCTGAATATCATTAAAATCTTCCTGACAGTGTGCTCTATTATATTAGGGAATAATTTCATTGACTTCAGTGGGAGAATTGACTGAATAAAATCTGAGTAAAGACTGAAGAACCATGAGGCTTTATCGAAAACCCACTTATGTCAGTGGGAGTCTTCCCATTAACTTTGGATCAGGCCTATAGTGAGCAGTCTAGCTATGTCACTGAAAATGGTTTAGAAACTGAAATCCTGATAGGAAATTAATCAGAGCATAAACTATTCCCCATCATTTCTGCATACTGTGTAGGCAGGGGTGTTAGACAGATATTGATAACACATATCAACAGTTGTTGGTGCTTTGTGCATGTTGTTGAACCCACAGGTTGTTTGTAGACAGCAGCTATTAAATGTACATTAATATTGACTCCATTGTGAACATAAGTTAAAGTGCCGTGAAAAAAAATACTCAGTTAAAAATGAAATTCCTTAACAGCTGACATGCTTTTGTATTCCACTAGGTAGTCTTTAGAATTTATTTCAGTACTTTACACTGCTGTTCAGCTTATTGCCATATGTTTCTATTATCAGCAATAAGCTGGCAGTTACTCCTGTGAAGGTTGCTGTTTCCCAGTGAAACTTCCATCGGCTTATTGCCCGAGTCATTGACAAGGTTGCCTGTAGTTCATCAATTTTTCACTCACTACTAGATGAGACTGTAGTCAAAGAGGAGTAGTAGTAGAGACCTATAGCATTCACATGAGAATAATTTAGCTACACTAAATAAAAGTAAGCTGCATTTGTTTAACTGAATTTGTTAATACCTCAAATGTGTGTGGGATCAAACTGGCTCCAGAGTGAACTTTTGTTATTCATCCAACATCACAAACTCAGGCAGCTCCATCACTGGATGAATTGTGATGGATATGGAGCTGCTCTGTAATTTATGAATACTGAATGTTGACCAGGTTATTGAGATGTTTTCTGTATGATTATGTTAGTTTAACGCAACAAGAAACTGCCTGGGGAAAAAAAAGGCACAAAGGAAATAATGGCTTAAGATAAGCCACCTCTACACAAATACTGGAGAGTTGTTAAAGACAATGCCAAGATACTAGGTTTGACAATTTTACCTCCTCTCCAACTAACCAACAAAACTAGCTTGAACCAGGATAGGAAAGGGTCACAAACACAGGAGATCAAAAGAATGCTGGCAGCTTTAAAAAGGAACATTCTCTCAAGAAAGGATGGGAGTAGTTGTGCAGAGAGAGGAGCCAACCAGACACCAGACCTCACCAGGGTGTCTGAAGAAGTTAGGCCTCCCTCATTTACCACCAGGGGATGGTAAAACAGACATATGTGTAGACTGTTGTTTTAAAATGCTTTTTCTCTAAATGCTTTGTTTCTACTATTAAAAAAACAATACTTTGGTTTTAACAAGAGTGTTTGATTACTGGATACCACAGGTTACAGATTCCCAAAGGTAAGAACCACAAGTGCCAGGACTTAGTCAGACCTGCTTGGATAAGAACAATTGATACAGAGGATACTGCAACCCAAGAGTGGGAGAACTGCAGAATTCCACCCTGAAATAGATATAGGGTTACACTTGAAAGGGTGCATTCAAGGAGGCCAGGAAATGGACAACTAGCCCTGAGCTGTGAGGACCCAGCAATAATTAATTTGTGACAATGCAGCCAGCTTGTCAAATATCTGCGCCACTGGAATAATGGCCGGGAATGGCAGAGCTGATGGCATTTTCTGGACTCACCAATACCATCACATGATCTAAAGGTAACAGTAGTAAGTGGAAATCATAATTACTGAGAGAGACCTTTGTGTAATTCAGTTAAAAAGATGGGGAAAGTTCCTTACTTACCATTTTTCTTATTTGCAAAGACAGATGATCTTCAAGGCTCCTTTACCATAATGAAGTTTCACCACAATACCATGGAGAACCCTACACAGGAAATTAAAAAAATTGGAGGCTGCTCCTGAGACTAACTTGAAAGGTGGTGCTTGAAATGCTTGTTAAACATAATGTCCAGTTAGGAACAAACCATGAAAAATGTGAAAATGTTTTAAAATATTATAATTTATTAGCTTAAAACTCCCTGGAGTTATTGAAGCCCTACAGATATTTAGATACGATACTGGCAAGAAGTGTGGGGACTTACTAGAGTTTTTCCACTTCTAGTGAAAGCGTATTTTCTACCAGATGTTTGTGAAAACCAAGTGTATTTTGATTCTATTAAAACATCAGCTGTATGAGAATCTTTATCTTCTTATAAGCCCCGCTCTTAAGCCCTTCCTCTTGATTAAATATTAAAAGGAGTTTTATTAACTAATTTAATTTTTCCTTTAGATAGAGACTAGGTTTGGATGCATCTCAGGGAAATTTCTAACACATTTTTTCAGGGAAAGGTTTTTATGTTCCTGGAAGTTTCTAGAGCAGCAAAAGCGTGGGTCTGAAGGTCTCTTTAAAATTAGCAAAAGAGCCTTGATTTTAAAGTAGAACCCAGTGAATTTCATGTAAAATATCAAAATAATGTTTTTAATGACACTGATAATTGCCATCTCTTATAAAAATAAAAGCAAACCAAATTCATTTGGAAGCATATTCATTTTGTACTCAGGGATAATTGAAACAATATTTTGAAATTTCCAGTGATGATCACATGCATAATTGCTGCTGTCATTGTTTTCCTGAGCTTTCAGTTTATGTCACCATGAATAAGTCAACATTTACCAACAATTACCATACAGGGGCCTCTGAGATACCAGTTATTTAATATATTATGTGCAAGAGAATAGTGCTGTGACCCTGATACCATTAACTAATTATTCTCAACAAATGCTCATATTTCAATGGAGGAGGGTAGAATTTTCAAAAGCATCTATGTAACTGAAGAGTCGAAGTGTAGTAAAACTCAGTGGGCATCCCAAGAGAGATAGGTGCTACTAAAAATGGGCCTTAAGCTCCTAAGTGACTTGGGTATTTTTTGAAAATTTCACCAAAATACTTTCTTTGGTAGCTCACAGTTGTTTGATCTTTCATGGGTTTTTGATTAACAATGACATGCCTAGGGGTGAAATTCACCTCTGTTCACAGGGACAGCGCAAGTAATCTGTACTGCTTACAACTCACGTAAGCTTTATTTTTGCTAGGGGTTAGCCAAAGGATCAGGGTAAAAGCCACACTGGATCAGACCCCACTCCCTTCTTAACAGTGGCCAGCACCTTGTGTTGCAAAGGAAAATGCAAGAAACCCCACAATAAGCAGCTACGGGGTGATCTGCCCACCATGAAGATCTCATCCTAATCCAGGGGGTCTCAAACACGCGGCCCGGAGGCTGCATGCGGCCTATTTTCTGCAGCCCGCGAGCTCCTCGCAGCCCCCCCGCCCTCTCCCAGCGTTTACTTAGAGCGGCTCCGGCCTGACGCGCACCAGGGGCAGGGCAGGCTCCCTGCCTGCCTGCCCGCCCCCCGCGCCGCTCTGGGAAGCCGACGGAACCTGGGGAAGGAGGGGCGCAGAGGTGTGTGTGACTGTTGCTTCAGGCACCGCTCCCAGCAGCTCCCATTGGCCACGAATGGGGAACCACGGCCAATGGGAGCTGCTGGGGGCGGTGCCTGAAGCAACAGCCACACACACCCTTGCGCCCCTCCTTCCCCAGGTTCCTTCCGCTTCCCGGAGTGGCACGGGGGCAGGACAGGGCAGGCAGGCAGGCAGGGAACCTGCCCTGCCCCTGGTGCGCGTTGGGCCGGAGCCCACCCCCCAAACCTCTTCTGCAGCCGAACCCCCTGCTGCACCCTGACCCCCTGCCACACCCCGTTCCCCTCCTGCACCCCAACCCACTGCCCTGAGCCCCCTGCTGCACCCCTCCTGCACCCTGACCCCCTGCTGCACCCCGCACCCCTCCTGCAACCCAACCCACTGCCCTGAGCCCCCTGCTGCACCCCTCCTGCACCCTGACCCCCTGCCCTGATCCCCCTGCTGCACCCCAACCCCCTGCCCTGAGCCCCCTGATGCACCCTGCACCCGACCCCCTGCCCTGAACCCCCCGCTGCACCCCGTACCCCTCCTGTACCCCAACCCCCTGCCCTGAGCCCCCTGCCACACCCTGACCCCCTGCCACACCCCTCACCCCTCCTGCACCCCACACCCCAACTCCCTGCCCTGAGCCCCTGCCACACCCCTGGGGGCAGGGAGGGGGCAGAGTTGGGGTGGGGATTTCAGGGAAGGGGTTGGAATGGGAGCAGGGAAGGAGTGGGAAGAGGCGGGGCAGGGGCAGGGCCTCATGGAAGGGGTGGAGTGGGGGCAGGGCCAAGGGCAGCGAGGGTGGGGGGAGGTGTCAGTAAATGCGGCCCTTGGGCCAATGTACTAGTCCTCATGTGGCCCTCATGTGGTCATTTGAGTTTGAGTCCCCTGTCCTAATCCCTGCTAGCTACAGAATGATTTAAACCCTGAGGCATGAGGTTTTAAAACTCTTGAACACTCTTTGCTAACTTTAACTACTATAGTTTTGGGTATTCTTGTTATCCATGTAACGTCCAGTCTCTTGTTGAATCGTGTTAAATTCTTGACCTTAATAACCTCATGTGGCAATGAGTTCCATTATGGCAATGAGTATGTATTGTATGAAAAAGGTATTTCCTTTTATCTGTATTGACTTTCTCAACTTTTAGTTTAATCGACTGTCCCCTTGTTCTTGTATATGAGACAGTGAGAACATAAGTTCCCAATCTACTCCCAACAACAGCACCTAGGCATGAAATTATCTTGCATAGTGCAAATGGAGACTACAGAACACTGTAATGGGAGGCACTCACCTCTTGAGCACCTCCGATTGGTACATGTAATACTGTACTCCTTTTCCCATTCCTGGCACTCCTTTTAGGTTGTTAACCTAGCTTGGTGGGTCTTCAGTGGCTTGGCCCTCTGGCCAAGTCACAAAGTCCAAATGAACCCCTTCCAGGATAGTAAAGAGTCAAACTGTCTATCTATCCTCACCAGGGTCTTCAGCTCCAGCTCTGGACCCTTTAAATAGAGCCCTTTGCTCAGACTTCTAAACAAGCTTTGTCCAGTTCTCAGGGCTTAAGGCACTTCACCAGTGGGAACCCAGATTTGCTTACCACTCTGGTTCCAACTCAGGGACCCAATAAACAGCAGCCACATACTGCTCACTTCAATGTGTTTCTAGTTCCCTGGGCCTCTTCCCATGGGTCCCCTTATCTTCACCCCTTACCTCAGATTCAAGTTCTCAGGTCCTCTTTCTCCCAGCTTAAGCAAGTGGAGCCAGAACCAAACTCTGGCTATCCTTTAAGCTCCTGTGGCCAGAGAGGAGAACCCTTCCTTGCCCTTCTGGACCCAGCCAGGAACTGACCTGTTGTGGCCCTGCAGCTCCTATCATCTGAGCCTGCTGGGCTCTGATTGGCTGCTTCCATGAGGCCCCTCAAGGCTGGCCTGAAGGACCCACCTTTGCTGCTCCTTTCCTGGGGTGGTGTGAAAAGCAAATTCCCAAAATCAAACTTCTGAAGTGCCAGATAATTTTGCTGTCACACTAAGCCTTAGGATTGGGTCATTTCTTTTCATGTCCTTCAGGAGTTTTTAACTGTGATGTACCCAATTTTTCCTTGACTTACACTCCATGCAACTCTATGAAGCCAATGGAGTTCCATGTTGTTTAAGCAATGGCAAAATTTGATCTTCTAGAGATTAATGCTTGAAAGCTGCTAGCATAAAAAAAGAAGATTGCAGTAAGACTCAAAAAGCCAATACATATGAATTACAACTAGAGTATTTGAAATAAGAAGTCTCCAGATAGCTGGAATAATGGTGTTAGTCATTCTGAGATTGCAGATCATATAAAAGCAAAGACTGGCTGAGAGGACACCTACAGAGGTAGTGCAAATATTAAAAGCCATAGGCACTTCAGAGTCATGAAACTTAATAGGAAGGTAGTTAGGCTAATTGGAGATGAACGTTCAGGAACAGAAGTTAAATGCAGTTCTGGGGTACCATAGGTGAAAGAAATCCTGACCAACTGAAGTCAATGGGAGTTTTGCCATAGACTTCAAAGGGGTCAGGATTTCACCTCCTGTAGCCTTCAAAAGCACAAGAGTTAGTTCTGATTTGTGTGGGTGGGTGTAGCTAATCAAAGTGATATATTTTTAGCTAGCAAAAATCAGGTATTAATTAGCAGTGAATGGTGGAGATGTGACATGTGCAGAAAATACATGAAAGAGTGGACTAGACCAGTTTGGAAAGGACAGCAGAGCAGAGTACACAGAATGTAAGAACGTACTTGTTGGGTGGGATGCTGTCCTTGAGAGGGAACTAGGGAAGAAGTTTCAGAGTAGCAGCTGTGTTAGTCTGTATCAGCAAAAAGAACGAGGAGTACTTGTGGCACCTTAGAGACTAACAAATTTATTTGGGCATAAGCTTTTGTGGGCTAAAACCCACTTCATCGGATGCATGCATTGGAAAATACAGTAGGAAGATATATATACACAGAGAACATGAAAAAATGGGTGTTGCCATACCTACTCTAACAACTAATCAATTAAGGTGGGCTATTATCAGCAGGAGAAAAAACTTTTGTAGTGATAATCAGGATGGCCCATTTCAAACTGTTGACAGGAAGGTGTCAGTAACAGTAGGGGGAAAATTAGCATGGGGAAATAGTTTTTACTTTGTGTAATGACCCATCCCCTCCCAGTCTTTATTCAGGCCTAATTTAATGGTGTCCAGTTTTCAAATTAATTCCAATTCTGCAGTTTCTCGTTGGAGTCTGTTTTTGAAGTTTTTTTGTTGGAGAATTGCGACTTTTAGGTCTGTAATTGAGTGACCAGGGAGGTTGAAGTGTTCTCCAACTGGTTTTTGAATGTTATAATTCTTGACATCTGATTTGTGTCCATTTATTCTTTTGCATAGAGACTGTCCAGTTTGGCCAATGTACATGGCGGAGGAGTATTGCTGGCACATGATGGCATATATCACAATGTTCTCTGTGTTTTCATGTTCTCTGTGTATATATATCTTCCTACTGTATTTTCCACTGCATGCATCCGATGAAGTGGGTTTTAGCCCACAAAAGCTTATGCCCAAATAAATGTGTTAGTCTCTAAGGTGCCACAAGTACTCCTCGTTCTTTTTTCTAGGGAAGAAGTGAAATAGTTCAGCTTGCAGGGAGGCAGTACGGTTTACTGGAGAGCTCTGATTTTACTGAGGCTGTTGCAAAGCTATGCTTGCAGGACATCAACAGTATCCATGATGTATTTATTTTATTTAACACAGGCATTTCTATGCCATTCTTCACAGTGATGAGTGAGTAAATATTCTAGATACATAAATGCAAGGATCAATGCAAAATCACAACATGATAAAGTTGTATTGCAACATAGTGACATGTCAGGACAGTATGTCCCCACTGATGTGATGATGAAGTGAGAGACAAGGTGGCTGAGGTGATTTCTTTTGTTGGTGAGAGACAAACTTTCCAACAGAGGCTTTGTCTAGTGACACAGCTGTGCCGCTACAGCCATGCCACTAAAAGGCATACAGTGTAGCTGCTGTTTGTCAGAAAAGAGGTCTCCTGCCAACAAAAAACTTCCACCCCCAATGAATGGCACTGGTGCTTTTCGTTGGTAAAACTTTTCTCATGTTTTTTTAACACCCCCCTGAATGACAGAAGTTTTGCCGATGAAGTTCCATTGTAGACAAAGCCATACACAGGGCTCTTCTTCAGGTCTGAGAAATGTACTAAGGGCTAGTCTACACTGGCAAGGTTAAAGCGCTGCTGCGGCACCACTTTAACGTGGCTTGTGTAGTAGCAGCAGAGCACTGGGAGAGAGCTCTCCCAGCACTCTAAAAAACCCACCTCCACGAGGGGCATAGCTACTAGCACTGGGAGCGCTGCTCCCAGTCCTGATGCATTGTCTACACTGGTGCTTTACAGTGCTGAAACTCAGTGGGGTGAGTGCGCTCAGTGGGGTGTTTTTCACCCCGAGTGAGAAAGTTGCAGCGCTATAAAGTGCCAGTGTAGACAAGCCCTCAGAGTGTCATAGGTAAATACAAAATGGAACAGATTGTTAAGCATCAATAGTTAACACATATTTTAAGGAACCATTCAAGGTGAAGTGGCCGATTAACACTCCTCCAGTCATAGAGCGGAAAGGGGGAGAAGCAGCTGGGAGTGGGGTGGGTTGTTAGTGGGTTATAGATTGTTGTAATAAGCCATAAATCCAGTGTCTCTATTCAGTCTATGATTTTTAGTGTCTAGTAAAGTTATGAATTTAAGCTCCCAGGCTCATCTTTTGAAAGTGGTGTGCAGGTTTCCTTTGAGGATGAGGACTGATACGTCAAGACATGGCAGTTAATGATACCTGTCCAGTGCAACAAGAGGCCTGGCCTTGAGAGCGATGGGAAGAGTTAGATTAAGATAGAAATGGAATGGATGGCCTGAGCCACAGAGAGCAGCATGAGGAGTGGGTTTGCCCCACCTGGAAAGAGCAGCCTGCAGAGAGCATGGCTGAGAATGGCAAGAAGTGGCCTGAGCTGTAGAGAGTAGCATGGAATGTCGGTAGCTCAGGCTGGGTCAGAGAATGACAATTGGAGAAGAGCCAATCCAAAAGCCTGGATCTGAGCATCCCCAAACTTTGGTGTAGTTTGGATCAGGATTTGGATGTGAACTTTGCAGCTTGGGCAGGCCAGTCGCTAAAAAACAAGCTGACTTTTTGGCAGCCTTCTTTGGATAATGATCTGCAGTGTGAATCAGCCCTTGCAAACAAATGCAATTTCTCCTGTGCCTGTCAGATTGTTGGAGGTGGAAAAAAAAGATACAAAATAATTTGAACAATTTCCTGCATGTGTCCCTCCCACCCCATGCACAAATCCTGTAAACTCATATCAGCAAACGAAAGGCACGATCCAGGCTGCTGTTGCCTTTTGGATCAGATTGTGTGTGCTGAAGCAAAGCAATCTCTTGTTGCTAGCAGCCAGGCTGTCTGAGGAAGGTAGCAGTGCGCTCTCTCACTTTGTCTTGGCAGGGCACAGCCATCAGACGAAGTGGGAGGAAGAAACATTAACTCCAACAGCTGTTTCTTGACCCCGGCTGTCAGTCTGCCCGAGACTACATTTTTGGAGAGTCCCATTCGGAAACAAAGAGGGAGTTTTCGGGCGCGGAGAAGTTGGGTGACCCAAGGGGCCGCAGCCCAACGCAGCAGGGGAGGCGCTGCTCGCACTTCACACGCAGCCTGCCTGCCTCTGCTGTGCGCAGGCAGGATGGAGCAAAGTAACTTGAAAGCTCCCCACTCGGCTCCCTTGCCTGCAGCCTCCCCCCGCCCCCCAACGCGCACACACACATCCAGCGCCAGTGCTAAGAGCCGTAGCTAGACTACAGTAATTCCCCAGCATGGGCGGCTTGAAACTGCTCGGGCTGAATAGCATTTGCTGTTCCGTCCCCGGGGCCGCCTCCCGCCGTCCCTGCAAGAGCCGCTCTCTCGTTCTCCTGGAAGTTGTGCTGACACAGTCTCGCTGCCACAAGAAGTTTGTCAACATCAAACTTACCCTGTGCGCGGTACGTTCACCTTCCGCCAGCATTTTCTCTATTAAAACAGCAGCAACCACTCGCCATGCCCTGTCTCTTTCATGCACAGAGAAGGGGTGTGTGTGTGTGTGCATCAACTTGTTAGCAATGGCGCATTAGATTGTCCTCAGCAGCTCGGTCTGAGCAAGCTGAGGGGGGACAAGAAGAACCCATAGATTTACTTGCAGTTTTTGTCCAACAGTTTGATGTGGGGTTTTTTTATATATATATATATATATGCATGGGAAGTGGCAAGCAGCCTTTGCTTTTTAGAGTGGAACAGAGGTTACATGGAAACAGTGGCATGGCAAAGTCAGGGATGTTATTCATACACAGACATTTGCTTGCAAAGCATTTGCTCTCTCTGGCCACCTTTGAACAAAGAGAGAGGGGTCGAAAACAGCCTTTCCTGCTTCTTGAAAATGAACACAAATATTTGGGAGTGGAGATTATTATTATTTTTACTATGAACAAGCAGTTACTCTGCCACCTTGATTAGCTATGCAGTATAAAAACTTCCACTGAGTCACTGTCCTAATCTGATATAGGAACAGGTTTGCTGCAAATTGCTGCTACATAATTTTTAGGTTTTTTACTGGCTTGATGCTCTTGGAGTTCCCCCAAGGCTTTTTAAAAGGAAGATTTAACACTTTGCATTCCTAAGAATAATTGCTGTGCATGCCCAGTCCTGAGCTGTAGTGCAATCTACTTGAAAATAATGGGCCTGCTTTGCAAAGCCATGACCCTGGGCATGCATGAAGTCATGACATGAAGGGGTTAAGGAGGGAACAAAATGAAACATCCAATTGGTCCAAAACTATGACATTGTAAAACTATTAGCAACTGTTTTTTCTCCTCCCCCATTTAACTTTTTATTTAGTTATTTTTAATAGTAGTCATTTGTAACTACATAGAAAGCCTATATCTATAGCCATATATATATAGAGAGAGAATCTGTTCTGAAGATAAGTGTTTGATCCTGTGAGGTCCTGAGGATTCTGCTCCAATCTAAGAAAGCACTTAAAGCATACGTTTACCTTGGAGAACTAAGTAGTCTCATTGACTGAGTGCTGAACACCTTCAGGAATGAGACCCTTAAAGAAGATTACAGAATTCTCTGCACAACACCCATATCACCATTGATAGATTGGTGCCCCAAACATGCCATACTAAATTCTACTAACATTTAACAGAAATCTATCAGTGCCAAATTACAATGGTGCAACCTGCCCATCAGCCCTAAAAAAGGAGAAAGGAACTAGGAGGAAAAGCTGAATATTAAAATGAACATGTTTGTGTGTGTTGGGGAAGGAAGGCTGAGGAGGAGTATTTTGAGTAGGCTCAAAAGATGAGATTTCTATCAGTAACTTTCAGTAAATGTCAATTTTGGCATACATATAAAGGGATGACAAATATTTCCATTGATAAATTTACAGATAGATAAAATAAGAAAAATGCTGCTTGAGGTCTTATTTGAGTTTGATTTAAGGATATTTATTTTGAATATTTTGACACATGCTGATAATTTGTGTTTTAACAGTTATGAAACTTTGAATCTCAACGTTGACTGTCTTTAAATAATTATTCTGACCCCCCCCATAATTTCCCACAACTGAATATTTAAATTGATAAAAATTGATATTACCCATCAAAATTATAAAAAATGAATTCTGGTAGGCCTACTTATGAGGGATGTCTGAGGGCAACCAGTTTATGAGACAAATATCTGTCAGGTATGGTCAATCCTGACTCAGATGACTGGACTAGATGACTTCTCAAGGTCTCTTCCAGCCCTGCATTTCTATCATTCTATAAGGACTGAGAGAGACAATCAGATTTACTTATTGTGCAGTAGACAGCAAGCCACTGTCCCTGACCAACTTTTAAAATGAAACTTTTTCATATACTGTATGTACTAAACCAAACATAAACAAAAAAATACCCAAACATACTAGATAAAGTTGATCAAGCAGTATTTGTCTTTCAGTAACAAAGGACAATTTCCCATTCTGTAGACTAAATGGGAATACTTTCCCCCTCTCCCACTTTATATAAAGAATGTTGTTGTTGTTGTGATTTGGAAGACACTATGTAATCTGTATACAGAAGTTTTTCGCAGGCTGTTGAAAAGGAGGTTGCTTGAGGGTTAGGAGCGTTTATATTTCTGGGAAGTATTTTTGTATTATATTATGTGTGTTTTACATTTATGGGATAGGTGCCCAGAGCATAGGATGGGTTCGTATAGAAATTTTTATAAATTTAAAGACATAAATTTTAATTGATTGTAAATTTAATTGCTGTTAAGGTGCCTAGAACTCATGCATAAATATTTCTAAGTGACTGGTGTTGCCTAAAGAGGAATCAAAGAAATATACCTGCCTTTGCTGTGGAAGGAACATCTTATTGTCAAATACATTCCACCCTGGAAGTTTCTGGAAAATACCATTGTAGTGTTCAAGATGAACACACTAACCTATTTCCTTGAATCTCTTTCTTATTTAATACTGTTGAATTTTGTGGGTAAGATTTTTTTGTATTAAAACTTTACCTGACATGCTATCTGAACAAGCCAAGTAACAGTTGTGGGGCACGTCTGGAATGGAGAAAGAGACATGACAAAGTAAATTTTCAAAAGTGTATGGCCTAGTCATTTTGAGCAGTTTTTGTGTGATCCCAGTGCACATTATACGAGGGTGAAAAAGTGCTTAATATTCAAGGCTGTAAAAATTGTTGAATGAATCAGAAGAATAATCAATGTCCGTGCATATTTGGGTTGCATTCTTTTCTCCAGTTTTAATTGCCCACTCCTTAAATAGAATTTATTAAAATATGTGAACTCTCTGAACTCTGTGTTCATTTGGATTCAGTTATTTTGTGAGTTAAGTAACAAAACATTATTTTAAAATGCCAACATTATATGTCTTTGTAAGCATAGAGCCAAACCAGCGCGTCTTCCACACATGGATGTAGGGATATTAAAGAAAGTACTAACAGTGATTCCCCCAAGTGACAGTGACCCCCTCATAATTTGTCCCCCACACTTTAAAATCCAACAGTTTCACCAAGTACAAAAATCTCTTGGGTCTTCTGTTAAAACTTGTAAGCTACTGTCTGTAGAAACCATTGGTTGTATCTATCCTGTGAAAGATACTTTATTACTATGTAAAACTTACAAACAAGTTAATTGACTTTGTTCTTGAAGTAATTGATACAATGTAAACAAACACTATAAGCCGTTAAGTGACTTTCACTTCATTGTAATAGCAACGCCTCCTAGGACAGACCCCCACCCTCTGTGATTAAAGAGCCGGGAGTCTCAAATGAATTCGCACACACCCTGAAAGTGGTGGAGACATTAAATTAAAATATGGTTAAGATATGGAATGTATGCTGATGAATGCTTAAATTAAATAAATTAATGGAGATATCCCATCTCCTAGAACTGGAAGGGACCTTGAAAGGTCATCAAGTCCAGCCCCCTGCCTTCACTAGCAGGACCAAGTATTGATTTTGCTCCAGATCCCTAAGTGGCCCCCTCAAGGATTGAACTCACAACCCTGGGTTTAGCAGGCCAATGCTCAAACCACTGAGTTATCCCTCCCCCTTGATATACATGAATGGTTAGGGAGGTGCCAGCCTAGAAAGGGAGTATCCATCTGCCGAAGAATGTGTCAAGTGGATGACCATACAACCCCCGGAGGGTAAACTGGGATCCACCCAATCACCTGGAAGGATGAGAAACACAAACTTTGGACAGTTTGGAGCCACCAGGAATGTGCCTATAAGAATGGACTCTCAAGACTGATGACTTTGAGTCTCTGGTTCTGCTACCTGACACAGACTCGGCTCCATCCTCATGACCAAGATACCTGGCCAGTAACTTGGCATGAGCAACTTCTAGGCAGGTAACTATAACACCTATACAGAACTTAAATGAATGATTGTGTGAATGAATTTCTATATATATATATGTTGTGTGTGTGTATAAGGAATAAGTAGTGATAGGAATAAGTAGTCAAAACAACGTTGTTTACTTTTATCTTTTGCTTTACCATTATATTTACAATAAATGTGGCATCTTTGCCTTATCCCTCTTAATAAGATCCTGCTGGTATAACATGGAAACCCATTTGAGATTGACCCGACTTCCATGTGCATAGGTTTATGGGAATAGGTCTGTAACTTGGATGTTTAGAATACACTGTAAAGTACATTTTATTTTTTAAAAAATCTTAGTTTGTTTCTTGGGATTTTGCCATCTCATTCAAAATAAGATATTTTAAAATCACATTTTAATAGTATATTTAAAAAGACTTTTCAAATAGTGATTTTTATTTTATACCTTAAGCAAAATATCTGCATCAGATGGGTAATATCCACAGTTCCCAGAACTGACAGGAAATTCATATACTTTAATGGTATAGCACAGGCTAGTTTTATGACTGTTAAATCTGGGGGCTGTGATCTATTCCATATCTCTCACAGTATTTTTTTATTTTGTTTATCCAAACTGTAGCTGTAATATTTTCTCTTGTTTTTTTACATATATGGGGTTTTATCAAAGTGTAATAATTTACATTTGTAAAAAGCGGTAGTATTAAGTTCATGTGGAATAGCAGCAAATTTCAGTCTAAAATAGGCAGTACTCCTCTTGGAGTCCAGTCCTGCTCCCATTGATATCAATGGCAAAACTCACATTGACTTCAGTGGTGCAGCATTGGTCTTATAAAAAGCGAGAAGAATAAAACTGAAGGATCATAGAAATCAGGATCTTCCATGGTACAAAGGCCTTGGCTACATTGGCGCTGTACAGCACTGCAACTTGCTGCGCTCAGGGGTGTGAAAACGCACCCCCCCGAGCGCAGCGCTGTAAAGCGCCAGTGTAATCAGCGCCTGCAGCGCTGCACGCTCGCTCGCAGCGCTGCAAGCTATTCCCCTCGGAGAGGTGGAGTACTTGCAGCACTGCGAGAGAGCTCTCGCAGCGCGGCGTGACTACACTCGCGCTTCACAGCACTGCCACGGCAGCGCTGTGAATCCCCAAGGGTAGCCAAGGCCAAAGAGACTAATAATGTAGATGTTTTTCTAAAATCTTCTCTCCCACTTTATTTTTCCTTCTTTGCTGCAGCTAATAATCATCTGAGTGCTTCTTTGTAGAAGAGTCAGTTGTGTAGTGTTGATGCCAGTTTTAATCTGAGATTACTTTGCCTGCGGTTGAAATCTATTGCTGTTTTGTAACCTGTAACATGTTTTTAC